CTCTTCCTCCTACATCATCACCACCGTCTTCTACTCTTTTGTTGTCATCACCATCAAGTTCTACAATTTTATTTTAGAACGATTTATTGAAAATTGTTTGTATTTGGCTGTTAGAATTTTTGTTCATGTCAATTTTGATGAACACTTCCACAGAGAATGGGGAAAGGAGAGAGAAAAGCTGAAAAATTAAATAATTTTTTTTTTTAAATGAGGACAACAACGTAAAATCCTTTACACAACATCTGACAAAACAGTGTTCATTTGTGTCAGTTAATTTTTGAGTCTTCCATAGGTACAGATCGATAATACCCTATTTTTATAGTATGGAGAAAAAAACTATTATTTTTTATAAAAAAGTTTGTAAATTATTACGGTATACAATAAGAAGATACTTATTAATACTCCACGTATCAACTAAAAAATAATTATGAGTATAGGGAAAAAATACACGAGTTATAAGTTGAGTACCTTCATCATGTTTGGTAAATTTCTTAAATCGACAAAAACAAAAAGAAATTCCGAGAATAATTTTTGTTGAAAATTTCGACAAATAAATTAGTTACAATAAAACATACCAAAAAAAAAAATTAGTTACAATAAAAAATAGCAGGAATCTTTTCATGGGCACGAAATTACAAGTTAAGGTGGCGGTCGCATCAAATTGATTGGTTGATCAACATTAACCATAATTGTGTTTTCGTATTCACAACAACAAATTGTGTTTAGTCAATTAGACAAAAATACATTATTATTTGAATCCATAGATTAAAAATATGCTTATATGTTATAGTTATATACTAGCAATATATAATAGTATTTTGTTATTTTGTAGATGAATTAGGTAATATACACATTAATATTAATTTGTAAAGTATATTGTGTTATAAATAATAAACGTTCTAGGAAATTTAGTAATGCAATAATATTTCATTCTTAGTTGGTTATATAATACTTCTTATGCTTGCTTGTATATATATACACATTCTATTTGTAAAGATGGCCAACAGAAATTATTAACTTTATTCCCAAATTATTGACAATAATAGAAAGCAAATATAAAGATTAGAAGATTAAAAAACTTTGCACTATAAGAAACACATGAACACATGGTCACCACTACAGCATACAAAAGTTGAGATCATCAAAAGCTATGCTTATTACATTTTCATCTAAATAAAAGCACAGCTACAAAAATCTACGAGACGCATTAATCGGTTTAGTTTGCCGAAAAAAATGAATAAAGGAAAAAATAACCCACTGATGATACTCGAGATAATCCCAACGATTGTATGCAAGTGCACCGATTGATGTCCTTATGCTAGAACATACAAAACGATTCAAGATCATTTTCTTGACGATCTAAAAAAGAAGATACTTAGTTCTTGACCGATAATCCCACGTGGGTCAACGAGATGAAAAGATTCCGAATCAAACGAACCAAAAACTCGTTTGAAACTCGCTCTTAAGTACATCATATGATCACTTTTCTCTCGGTTTATCTCTTCTCCGTTAACAACTCCGGCTCCTTCAGCCACCGGGGTAAGCACCTTCAACGCGGCGAGCTCAGCTTTGGAAGGCTGTCGTTTGATGGCGAATCCAACTTTCCGACCGTTGCAATACATGTTCCATAAAGGTGTTGTAAGAAGTGAAGAAGAAGAAGAATCTTCACGTGAATCATATCCCTCGTTATTGTTTGATTCGAGAGCGATCCTTAGCACGCCTCCTCCCATTTCGCGGGCTAATACCTCAGTAGGGACAATAAGCTCTAAGAGGACAATGATTGGGTTTAGTGTTTTCGAGTTTGTTGCTTGGATGCAAAAGTTTACTTTGCCACGGCGGAAACCGAATATGGTTCCAGTAAAACTGGAGTTTATGGCGGTTGAAGAGACGGAAGAGGTTCTTGGTTTGATTTGGCGGTGAGATAATTTGTCTTCATGAATATCATTTGGATCAATGATTGTGCAGTAACAAGATGGGATGAGAAGTTGGGCGATGGTGCGAAGGAGCCGCCATGAACGAACTTGTTTATGGCAGTCTACGGCTGCGGTTGCGCTTGTGGTGGTTGAGGCAAGCCGGCGACGGTGAGGGTTTGTGGGGAAGGACATGGTTTTTTGGGGAGTTAGTTGTACGAAAGGGATGAGAATTTTATGTGTGTTAGGGTTTATGTGGCATGGATGTTTATATAGAAAAATGGGCATCAAAAGAAAATGATACGAACTTATACAATTTAAAAGCAACCTCAATTGAGTTTAAAATAATACTATAAATAAATTATCTTAAATAATTTATATGAATAAAATTTAATAGTAGTTATCACATACAAAAAATCAGTGTATTATAAAACTGAAAACTGTTTGTGTAGTAATAATAAATGTATTACACGTTAAAAAGGATTATTGTACGTGGATCACCTAGTAAAAATTTTTTAATGTGTTATACAAAACTAACAATTGCTTGTATATATATGGTTTGAACTGTTTGTACTTGTACATGATATTTTAGTTTTAACAGTTAAAATTGGTTTACACGTAAATATTTTAATTGGAAATATATGGATTTTATGTAAACAAAAAAAAAATGATTGTTGGTTAGTATTTCCGAAATGTTAGTTTTTAGTTTTTACTTAACCTATGCTCAAATTTCCTTATTTAATGGATTCATTTAAATCTTTTAATGGCCAGAAAAGAATGACACGGTGGTTTAGGAAATTTCCGTACAATCATAGTGGACGTGTGAGTCCAATCATTGGATCATAATTCGTCATTTAACCTTAGGTATTAAGAAATTTTCATTAATATGTTAATGATTATGCTCGTGCATACTTAACAATAATATTGATAATAATTTTAGCAGGCGCTAACCACTAGGTTTCTAATATATGGATCCAACGTTTTGTTATAGACATCTTAGACAATATTGATTAATTCATGATGTAGTTTCTTACGTCTTTTTCTTCATGATAAAATTTTTTGAGTCAATAAGCCAACCCTAAATGGACAAAGAAAACATGTAAATAAACGACAAAGTCAAATCAGCCGTCTATTCGAGCATCGACAAGGATTGATCATAGGGCATGAGCTTGTTACCCATTTTGTGGCCCTTCATTGGCCCAATATATATTCCTCATGGTTCCCACTAAATTTGGACAAGATACCAAATTCTATTGTATAAAATGTGGCAACCTGGAAATTTATATGGAAATTTATATGCGGACTTGCTCAGGCGCTCCAGACCACCAGTTTATCAGGGGACTCTTAAGTGGAGGTTTAAAAATCCCTGTGACGTGGGCTTAGGTCCAGTAGGCTAGTCAGATCACTGTGTGGTCTGGATACTGGGTTATCAAAAAAATGTGATCAATAAGAGAATTTTACCCAATCGATTTCTAGATTAACAAAGAAAACGAATCAATATGATCACAGAAATGAAGAAGTTATTAATGTTTTTTTTTTATCACGAAAAAAACTAGGACGGTAGTTTATACTGTATAATATTCCCGAATCTAAGTCGGGCGCTCGGCATGGGCCTAGCGATTAATCGGAAAATCGGATTAAAATCGGGGATTAATCGGGGATTAGTTTTAGGGTAAAATCAAAATCGGGTAAGATATTTGTCACCTGACAGTTGACACGTTTATGTTCTTTCTAACTTTTGGAAATTTTAATTTCAAATTTTTACTGTTCCACCTTTTGTTCAATAATTTTATTTCCGCATTGGAAGCTTTTGCCAAAGAAAAACGATAGAAAGTGGAGAATACGTTGTCGTTTTGTGCTTTATTTTTATTATTTTGATAGCTTGGTTCCTTCCACTTAAAAGCATTATAAACTTTTTCTAATTTGGATTTTACAAAAAGAAATGCAACACAATATATCATTGTCCCGTTTCTCTCAATGTACAACAACCTATTTTGGAATTCTTTTTTCTTCTCCTTTTGGTAATTTCTCGTTTGTTCTTTTCATTTAAAATGACGCCATCAAATTACTAAAAGAAACAAACGACGCAATTAACTCATAGACACGCCTAATTTTAAAAAATACTATTAGAATCAAGCACTTTGTCGTCAAATCTCCTAAAGAGAAAGTAAAAAAATATCTTTAATTATCTTCATTTCTTTGAACAGAAAAAATATCTTCACTTCTTTGCTCCATTTCAAATTGCACATGCCTTGAACACTAGAAGCAATGTTTGTCGGACTAAATAATATCAAAGGGACTAATTATGCAAAATAATATCTTTCTCTCTAAAAGATCTTAATTAGTAAACTAAACATTGCAATTTCTCTTAGCCAGTCTCAGTAAAGTAAATTGCAAGTCATGTTATTAATTTAGGCCCGTTTTTAAAAAACTTTTGCGAAATTTTCGAACATGACAATGAAGACTTCTGTGAAAGAAAAGCCCAAGAAAATCTAGGGTAGGCCCGTTAAGAAGTCGTGAACCAGTCCACAAATTTATAATCTCAATTTCTGCTTATGTGGCCCATGTAGGATGCTTTAGCCAATAATAACTCGAGAAGTAATGTCATTGACGCAGGTTAACAAATTAACGTGTGGACGGTGTAAATTAAATCAATAAATGTTTGATATTTCTTACTTTTTTATTTATTTAATAGTACGTGTTACACTCACAAATTAAAGTATCTGATAATGTGGATAAAGATAAAATTATTGTCTTACCAACAAAAAAAAAGACAAAATTAATGTGATGAGAAAACGTCATTTTCTAAGGTTTTTTTTTTTTGGACAAACAAAGGTGTTTTAGTTCAGTTTTCACTTAAAATAATTTGAGAGATCATTAATCTATAGAAATTTTTACCCACCTTTTCTTAATGAACTCCTTATCAAGAACATATCAATATATATATCATAATCAAACTCTTAGAATATGTAAATTAAATCTTTAGCATTTATTTATGAAACATTGAAACTTTTCAAATATTACACTAATTTTAGTTTATAAATAGATAGAAAATAATAATAATTTAAACTGTTATTGTAATAAAATCCACATGTATTTAATTTTCAAAATGAATATCTAATACAAAATCCGGCCTGGAAAATCCATCTAATACATGTTAATAAATAGATAACTAATTAACTATTAAGATAAGAACATATATATTTGATCTTACCCTACATTTAGATTAACCAAAAACACATTGTGAAACCTTGATACATTATAAAAGCAAAGCCACATTGCTAAAGATTCAAACATTTGAATAGAACAACTATATCCCATCAAATGGGAAAACTCACAACCTTGAATGGCATATTGAAAGACGAAGCGTCACAAATGAAACTCAATGTGGTTCATTTGTGTAGCTCCGTGAATGCCAAAACCATTGACTTAGCTCTCTTGAAAGCCACGTCTCATACCTCACACAATCCACCTTCAGACAAATACGTCACTTTCCTCCAATCAACTATTGACACGTGCTACGGTCCTGAGACTGTCGCTGCCATCCTACATAGGCTCCGTTTAACGACGGACGCGTGCGTGGCTGCTAAATGTCTTATTCTTCTCCATAAGATGATTAAAACAGAAAGTGGGTATAATGGAGAAGATAATCTTCGGGACTGTAATAGTCATCGTACTTTGATTTATAATCAAGGAGGGAGTAATCTTAAATTGAATAGTCTCAATGGAAATTCATCTCGTTTTACTAGAGAGTTGTCTCCATGGGTTCAATGGTAAGATTTTATATTTTTCTAGGCATTGGTTATATATACTTTTTGTTTTACTAAGGGTATTGAAGAGTACTCAAATATATGTTTGTTCGCGGTTATACGTTAAATAACAATATAATGGAAAGTCTTATGATTTATCAAATATTGGTCTTTTGAATAGGTACCAACAGTATCTAGATTGTTATTTATCTATTGCGGAAGTTTTAGGCGTTACTCCAAACATAAAAGACAAAACAGAAGATAAGCGTTTGGAGACTCAACGAGTCTCTTCTTACACAACTGATTGCATTTTCAAACAAATTGATTTCCTAGTAGATCTTTTCGAACATATAAGTGACAGGCCAAAAACTCCAACGTCGAAGCTGAACAAAATCATTATTGAGATGATAGAACTAATGGTACAAGACTACTTCTCTGTCATAAAATTGATCAGGATAAGGTTTGAAGAATTGAACGAGAGAGTAGCTAAATCTTACCAGTTGGTTCCGGTTTTGGAGAGGCTTGAAAATTGCAAGGAGGGTTTGAACGAGTATTCTTGGCGAAGCAAGTATTTGATTGAAGATTTTTGGTGTTTGGTATCGAAATTAAAAGATATGTAATGCTTGATGAGAGAAGAAATTAAATGTTGTACCAGTCCGGTCCGGTTCCTTAGCTAAAATCTTATATTATCATAGCTAGGTTTGTCCGTAAATCTGGTTTTAGTCTCTATGGGGTGTTCATGAGTCGATTCCATGTAGTTATTTATAAATAAATTATGAATATTATATGTAAATATGTTATGAATGAATACATATGTAGCCATGTACGGCCAGTAAGTGAGAGGCGTGTGTGAAACCACAATGTCCAAAACCATCGTAAAAACTCATACAAGTTTTTAAAAACCAAATGAAAAATTCCATAGAACAATTTCTATTTTCTAGAGATTAAAAGAAAGTGCAATTTGAGTCATATCTAAGTATTTAACCAATATTCAAGTTAAAACCAATAAATTTTATTATTTTTACTAAAATCAAATAAAAGCAGTTCAATATTTAGCCATTTTACTAATAATATTACAAGGCATGCTATAAAAAGAAAATCACAAAGGCCATGTTGCAGTAATTGCAGTTTACAGAGACCATATTTAATCTATAAACCGGCTCTAAGAGATTGTATCACATTTCGATACAAGCATACACCAGTTTTCCAAAACAAAATTATGCTGCAAAATTATGTAATAGTTGATTCAACAAAATCTTGAATCATTTTATTGTGTTGGACCATTTGTTAACGCGAGCATTTGCTTTCTGCGCCTGTAAATTTCATAAACATAAAAGAAAACGTTATCAGTAAATTCTCGAATTTGCTAAACAAATCAAAAACACAAAGAAATATCAATATCTACCTCTTTTTCCCAATCACATCTCATTGTAATAAAAGCTAAGATCATTGTTTGAACAGCGGTTCCTCCAAAAATCATACCAGCCCAAATTCCCTATTATAGATAAATAAAACCACAAAACATTATTCCATTGAGTAAACCAATTATCTATGAATCGTAAAGAAAATCGTGATTAATTACCATGACACCGAGTTTAAAACCCCAGCCCATGAGAAACCCAAGTGGAACACCAATGCAGTAGTAACATCCCAAGTTTATATATGCCACATACGATTGCCAACCCGATCCAACCGCCACACCTACTCAATATAATGAGCCCCACAAAAAGTCAACAAAAAACGTTGACTCGGTTTATAAAAATTGATAAAATTGTTACGTACCGGAAAGAACCGGTTGAACGCTGTTAAGAAGAACGGTGAAAGCTAACAGAAGTGAAAGTTTATTAACGGCGTCTAAGACGGCTACACTCGAAGAGAAGATCCATGCGATTTGGTTATGGAGAAGCATTATTAGAACCCCGAAAAACAATCCGATTATCAACGATTGTGTTACTGATACAATCGTCGCAAATCTTGCTCCTTTGCCATTACCAGCACCTAATTCGTTCGCCACACGAACACTACAATAGTTCATGTAAATTAAGTATCTAGATGTTAATAGTTTTCTTTTAAGTTGTATATCTATTGAACAGGAAAAAGTTATAGATTAATACTTTAATAGTACTATAATAGCAAAAAGAGTGATCTCTAAAATATTTTTCCTCGTATACGTGTTAATTTAGACAACACGACAAATATATTTGGATATAAGAAGAACTCAAAGCAAACACGGAAGAAGACAGCAAAAGCTGTAAGGATCTAGCCATATGCCAAATGTTAGGTTTCAATTTCCTAAATATTCCACACAAAATTATTGTTCCATGAAAATGTATCCTAATAATAGACCCCCATTAAGTATTATATTGTTTCCTTGCAAATTCCATGTTCATAAATAAAACTAAATGGGGGTCTAATATTAGGATACATATTCAAGGAATTATAATTTTCTCTGTAGAATATTTAGGCTAAACAGTACAATCGTATTTTTGTCGACGTACGTTAATTAGTGAACATACCATTAAGATACTATACGCATTTACTATTTATTTATTTTTGACATCGACATGCATTCACTATTTATAGTTGATAGTTGATAATAAATACTGAATGGTAATTACATTTACACGTACTTTGTTTTTATTCCGATTTATTTGAAAAATAGAAACCACGTTATTCACGAACCCAACATGACATCTAGTCCGCATTCATTGTAAGTTTCAACCTTTAATTTTCATGGGTCCGTTGTAAACGACTTAACATAGTTGATAGTTGATATTTAATATGATTGTACAAAATTAGACTTAACTGGTGAACCGGGACCAATTAGATCATTATTATAAACCGAATCAGAAATTAGCAATAGAGGAGAATGGACTTTACCCGGTTCCGGCGAAGAAAGCGAGAGGTATCATCATCTCCCAACCATTTATCGCCATGCTGCCAAAAGTTATTGGTAAGAAAATTAATCATACGTTTAAAAAGGATTATATATTCATTTTGTTTTTATGACAAATATATTAATTTTATCAAAAGAAGATAAAAACAAAAAACAACTATAACCTTTTGACAATAACCCAAAGAGCAGACGTGAGAAACAATGCGATAAGATTTATATATATGATTGATACTTTTTCTTCTATTTTAGTATTCTAAGAAAATATCAACATAAACAAAATAAAGGTCAATAAACGACTTAATTACCATATGGACAAGGAGTCCACGGCGATGCGAGCATTCTGAAGATTCCCAGTCATTAGAATCAAAATCCGATAATACCAATTCTCCAAACTGTAAAAAAAAAAAAAAAGTTTCCAACGTTAAAATGGTTTCGGACATAATTAGACACATGTCACAAAGAGTACATATATTTTTGTTGGTACCAAAGCATGACGCCGGAAGAAGCAGAGAGTTTAAGGAATTCCCAAAGTCCGGTTAAGGCTTCAGAGGAGAAGCCGGTCCAAGTAAGTGGACAACCGCCACAAGTAGAGTAAACTAATAGAATAAGAACATTGACCCACCACGATATACTAATCGTAGCCACAGTCCCGACGACTCCTAGTTTAAGTCCGTCCACGAACAACCAACACACTAAAATGTGAACTACCAATGCAACGGCTGCGGCATACGCAGTCACCTAATAACCACCCAAAAAAAAAAAAAAATTACTAGCTCGAACATTATATAGGAACTCTGATTTATTTTTTTTGCCTTAATTTATAAACGTTTAAACATATAAAAATTTGCTCATGACACGCATATATATAAAAAAAAAAAAACAACTGAAAAATATGCTTCTGACCTGCACAAATCTAGAAAAACTGAAAGTAATTTTGTATATAAAACTGTTATTTTTTTATTAGAATAAATTCTGTTTGAAAAACAGTCAGATCGATCGAATACATACTTGGTTCTTGAGCTGGCACTGGAGGAAACGTTGAAGGGGAAAAGAGAAAGTGAAGGCGAAATGAAGAGGTATGACCCAAATGGCGACAACACCGGAAAGCTCAGCGATATCGTCCGGTTGACCAAGAAATTTGAGAACTGGAGTAGTGAAAATATAAGTTGGTAATAACAAGACACAACAAAAGAAGAGAACAATCCAAGAACGCTGCATATAAACTCCCAGCATATAATATTTCTTCGCTCCAAACGCTTGCCCACACAGCGTTTCCAACGCGCTCGCCATTCCAAGCTACACCATTTACATATAAATTTTAAGAAAAATGTAAACATTACCCTTTAATTAAATCTTCAAGATTGTGTAGATACTATACCAAGAGGCCAAAGTTGAAGCCAACGGTGACGTTATTAACGATGGATATGGCGGCGAGTTCGAGATCGCCAAGATGACCAGCGAAAGCTTGAGTGATGACAAGCATCGAATATGTCGTAATTCGACTGAATATGGCCGGGCCAACGATTTGCCATAGCTTTTTTGTCTCAACCAAAATTCTATTCTTCAATCCTTCACCGTCTTCTTCCCCCGTGTGAGGACTTTTCAACAGTGCAACTCTCGACTCCGATCCTTCTTCTCCGCCACTTCCTCTCATCGCTAATTCCTTTTTTTTAGTTATGTGGACGAAATGAAATATAAGGAGAAAAGAAGAAGTGAGAAGAATGGTGAAGACGAGAGAGATGAGTCGTGAGTGAATTGGCCTTTTTTTTGTTTAATCTATTTATAAACTCTGTGGCTAGTATTATAATTTATTTATGGAAGAACAAATTCCAAATATGATTCATTTCTAAACGTATATATGTTTTTTTGGCTATCATTACACAACTCCAAATACGATAAACTTTAGTGTTGCTATTTCCGTGATGAAATTACAGACAAATTTATAATGAAAAAGGAAAACAATAAAAAGGGGAAGAAAATTTTCTGCCTTGATGAGGTTTTGTTTTCCAAATACAACGACAACAACGGAAAAAAAAAAAAATAGAAGAAAATTACGCCAAACTTGTTTGAGAGCAAACATATTTATCTTATTTATCTTCCACGAGTGCCAAGGGTTTTTAAACTATGAAAATAATATAGAGAATATAATAAAAAGTTTGGTATGAGTTTATTATATGAAAAAATCTTGAAATACGTCATTTGGTGCCTATGACTCTACATTTGATAAAATATTTTTTCTACTAGCCTTACTAATTAGATTTCGGTTTGCCAATGCCATCTAGTGAATTAGAATAAGTTTTACACTGAAAAGAGGAAAGCCATACATTTCGACACGTGAGAGGCACGTGGTATAGATTGGTTTTGTTTTTTTTGGTAAATGTCGTTTTATTTCGACATGCGTCAGTCAGAGTCCCCCCATGTGATCTCATTGCTTACATATTTGTGTTTTTTTTTTTTTTTAACAAAACATATTTATGTGTCTGATCGAGAAATGCCTAGAACTATTTCCAATAACATTTCCTAAAAGCTTAAGAAATTGAAACCAGACCCAAGTAAACTTTCGGATATTAGATCGGATCATCTAGATATCCCTTCAACACAACATAGGTCGTCGAAAGGATCTCGGAGACCATTTCAACCAAATATTTGATTTTGTGATTTGCTTCGATTCGGAAATTTCCGGATATCCGGAAATTCGAATATCCGGATTTTTTTGTGATATTTGCGGAAATCCGCTTCGGTACATCTAAATATTAAAAAAAAAACCGTAGACTATATAAAATAACAAAATATCATATATTCAAAGTTCTTGTTTGACATGTTTTCAAAATAAGTTCCAAAAAAACAAACGTAACCATTGTTGATATCACCGATCAAGAACATGCCATCAAACTAATTCTAAAAACCAAAACCCGATAGTTTAAAATTCCACTAATCAAAACATAACTTTGTGTAAATCCAGGAAGAAAATGCTAAAATTTGAGAAACTGAATCGTCCACGGTCCACTTCTTATTATTTATTTAATATTTAAGGGATGCTGATTTTTCATTTTTTAAATAAATCTCAAACACAATCCCATAATCTCACCAAAAATAAAACACAAGCCCAAAAGATTAAAAAAAAAACACGAGCCCAAAAGATTAAAAAAACACAAGCCCAAAATATACAAATACACAAACTATACTATGATATATATATATATATATATATATTCTTATATATATAGAAAAAATACGGATCGAATCGGATATCCAACTTTTAAAAAAACAGTATTTGGTATTTGCTTCGGTTTTAACGAATATTATATTTTTCTATTTGATTTGCTCCAAAATCTTACGGATATTCGGATTTTTTGAATCAAATCAAATCGAATACCGAATCGAAACGGATCAAACGAATATTTTGCCCAGGCCTAATATATATAGTTCATCTGTTTCGTTTTAAACTTTTTTTTGGGGTCAAAACTCTGTTTGACTTTGTTTAACGTTTTTTATATAAATTTAAAATTATATGAATTTTATTTATTTTGTGCATGATATGAAGTGTGGACCAAATTAGACTTTAAGGATGAATTGATAATATATGTTAAAAATGGACTATCCAATAAAGCCAAAACTAGAGATGATCGAGATATAAACATTAGAAATGTAATGGGTTTAAACGTTGTTTTTTAAAATTCAGTTGAATTATTTATTTAAATTATATTAGCTATAATAAGGTTTCAGTGCTTTTTAAGCAGTAAAAATGCTTATAACAGTCCAATTTTTATTTTGCGTTCTTGTTCCATTTTTTTTTGTAAAGCCAACAAATAATTACTTTAGTTTTTTTTTTTGTGAAAGCACAATCTCTTCTTCAAACTAAAATTTCCACAAAAATCAATATTTTAAAACAACAATTTTAACAGTATTACAGTCCCAACAACTCAGTCTTTTGGGTCACTGGTGAGCGAGAAGACATAACCAATGTTTTTGTCCTCTTGAGTTGTGGGTTTACTTACCGAGTATATCTAGAGTGGTACATATGTTTTTTTAATTGTCACAATTAAATACATATAACAAATATTCGTCAGAGGTAAAAAAAAAAGTAAAAAACTTATTATTTTCCTACTTTTTATGTTTTTCTAACTTATCTGGAATTATCTTGAATGTCAGGAAAATATTCAGTACTTATTTTCGTGATGTGGGTTTCTGGATTTTAGGTAGAGAATGTTTGGTCCGCTTTCTAACTATATGATCTACCGGGACTTGTCGGATCAGCCGATAGAGTTTATAAAAATAAATACTGTTACTGTGGTTTTATTCAATCGTGGTAGACATTTAATTTAAGCTATTAGCCAATTAGATTTTCAATTTATTAGGTCCGAAAAGGAGTTTCGATTTATTTTTGTCTACATCTAATATCTTGATGTTGGACCAGCAATAATAGCCCAGATACGGGAAGGCTATTGAAAGGGCTTAGCAGGCCTGGTGACAAAACATAAAAAGGTACGTGGAGGACATGGAAAATTGGAAATTGAGCTTATTTTTTTCATGGGTAAAAAAATAAAAAATATTCGTGAAACGAAATTAAGATACTTACTTGTCTAGACTCTAGACCATCATCTTTTAGTAAATGTTTGTGTTTTGGGGGGAATATATAGTGTAAGTTTAGAAAATTTAATTTTATAATATGAATCACCTATTTCTATTGATAAATTAAAGATTACGGTAAGCACTAAGCATTATGATACTGTATAGATCGCAGATCCGTATTTCAGAAGTATTAAAATCGTTTATTTAATTTGGACTCATAATCATCCAATATAGATCTTTATTAGATGACTCATAATCATCCATTTCATAAAAAGAAAAAGCCACGAACATGATTTAATAGTTCTGAAATCACAAGAATCAGATCTAGAGAAGACCTGTTTTATATAAAATTCTGAATTTTCTTTTTCTAGCTTTTACCTTTCATTCCTATAAACTATAAAGCATCAAAAGAATGATGAACCATGTGAGAATTTTGTAAAGAAAGAATAACTAAGTAGTTTTATTAAAGCTATCACTGGATTTACACAACATATTCCACCTCAACAAACAACATTTACCAATCCCAATTCAAACAACAATCGAATAATTTAAAAATCAATCAAATTATCGAAATTAACACCGTAACTATAGAATGAAATGTAAACAGAATGTTTTCAAGATGTAAACAATGAGATCCTAAGCCAAAACGACGGCGTAAATAACCGCAGCAAAAACGGTACCGACGACGAAAGCTTTGTTGGAGAAAGCTGCGTTAGGTGGAGGAGCGGCAGCGTCGGAAGGTGTCGGGGCTAGATCACCGGGACTAACTCCGGGACCTTCCGGTGCAGGTGGAGAAGCGGTGGGGACATCAGACGACGGAGAAGGAGAGGAAGACGGAGGACTAGCGGTAGGGGCAGGGGTGGCTGCAGGTGGTGGAGTGGTGGCCGGGGCGGGAGTTGCGGCAGGAGGCGGAGGAGTGACGGTGGTGGTTGGAGAAGGAGCTGGAGCTTGAGCGAGGCATGAGGTAGAGAAGATAGCAACAATGAAGAAAGCTTCAAAGATCTTCGAATTCATTTTTTGTTCTCTATCTAAAGATTGTTTACTTTAGAAAGATAGAGAATGAAGCAGAGTGGTTTAGGTGAGGAATGACGATGGAGGTATATAAAGGGAGAGAACAAACAATGTTATAAATTAAGTAAGTTAAATAGTAGTATCTTGATGATGAGATAATTATTAGTTTAATGATTAGTATCGAAATATTGAAATGTAGGAATAACATACAATTACTCTCTCCTTTTTTTTTTATTTATTAGATGTTTAAATAAAAATTACTTTACATTAAATGATATTTTCAACTTTAATACAGATTTATAAATGTATAATAGATGGATAATATCGGACTTGATCACCAATTCCATCTGTTGATCCGAATACAAATTTTCAAAGGGTTTAGAAAAATCGTTGGTTAAACTCGGTAAAAAAAAAAAAACACTAATCGAATCGAATTATGATTGTTAATAATTGGAGAGAGAAAACGTATATGTAGTAGACTGGTAGTATTGAATATTGTATCATGTTTGTCTTTCTGTCTACTCGTTCGATAATAGTTTCTTAATAATGATCTCTTTGCCTATATATGATGATGATGAACCTTAATTACAAAAATACAGATCTATCAAGAAAGGACAATGTCGTTATTATCGTATATCCCATGTGCGTAGCAGACCCATCGAGCTCATCATTTTTGAATACTTGTTATGGTTTTATTGTTCTCGTTACCGTTGGATCATTGCTGTTTTTCTTTTATTTTATTATCTCTTGTTTTTATTGCTAGTAACAAAGAGTTGGAGATAGCTGTCAGAGAATTTTAAATAGTTGAATAATGAATACAAATAAAACGGGTATCTATCTATCTATCTATATATACATAACGGAAGAAGACATTTGATAGCCTGTAAAGGTCATTTTACAGTGAATCAAGAAGGTTCGTCGTATTTATCATTAAATTAAATATAATTGGTATCCATAAAATGAACTTGAATTATATATATATAGTTGGCAATTTTATGAGGCCCATATGATATGATGCGAAACCAACCGACGATTATACACTATACCTACAATTCAGTGCACTGAATCGATTGATTAATCCCTAAAACTAAAGTTTTTACAATATTGAAGATATTTGCATCCAACTTTATTTTCATTAATTAATTTGAACACCAATACAAAAGAACTGAGATAGTTCGTTATGCACTCTAAAGCATGAGTTTTGTGTTGTCACTTTTAGAGCAACTTGTATTCACTTCTAACTGAACTTTGCATCATTTAAAAAAACTATTTGGATTATCTTAAAAAAATTAGATCAAGACGAAGATGTTTACATGGTCTTTTTTTTGTTGGTGTAATTACTTTAATTTCTCCTTACCCACAATCCATATAATTTTCTCTGTCTTTTTTTTTGGTCAAGCATAATTTTCCATGTCTATATTTGATCTTTTCGAGTAAAGCTTTCCCATACATAATTTTCTTTGCCTATATTTGATCTAATTTGTAGCTCTTGAAAATTTGCAAAAATATTTATTATATCAGAATCAGATACACAATGTTATGGGCCGATGATTTCAAAGGATTCTTCTTTATGGGCCGATGGAGTTTTGGGCCTTTCTACCACAATGTTGACGATCAAAACGACAAATCAGACCGTGTCTTATGTTCGGGCAAAAGGATAATTCGAAACCTGACGGAGGGATGTTAGGACATTCATATCCTTGTTTCCAAACGGGATTACGGTTTAAGGTAACGGCGATGGCGCCGGAGAATTACCGGAAACAGAAGAACCCTAGAATTTTATGCCTTCATGGATTCAGAACCAGTGGTCGGATTCTCCAAGCGGGTATAGGTAAATGGCCGGACACAATTCTCCGAGATCTCGACCTCGATTTCCTTGACGCTCCTTTTCCGGCCACCGGAAAATCTGACGTCGAGCGTTTCTTTGATCCGCCGTATTACGAGTGGTACCAGGCTAACAAGGTTCGTCGCAACAAAATTCTGAATTTCGTTAAATTCAATGTTGATCATTGATACTATTAAGTATTAACACTATCAGAGTAAAGGTTGGTTTTTTTGCTATAATTTAGTCTAATTTTGTATACAAAAAGTTGATTTAGGTGTGTGTGTGTTTGCAGGGGTTTAAGGAATATAAGAATTTTGAAGAGTGTTTGGCTTATATAGAGGACTACGTGATAAAGAATGGACCTTTTGATGGTCTTCTTGGTTTCTCACAGGTTGGTTTTGATGCTTGGATGATATTTTAGAATTGACCACTGTCATATATATCAGCAGGATCGTGGACCGTTGATTTTTGATCCATTCTTGCAGGGAGCTTTTCTAACTGCGGCTATTCCGGGAATGCAAGAACAGGTACATTAACTGATCAGATTCCTGGTTCTGAGATTGAATCTGCTTATGAGTTTTTTAAAGAATGAAACCTATTGTTAGAGTAGTTTTGTTTTGTTTTGTGTTTTGAGCTAGTGTGTGATGTTGAAACCGTTTGTAGGCAACAGTGAGGTTGAATCTAAATTGAAGAATGGAACCTATTGTTTGAATAGTTGAGTAAGTGGTTGATGTTGTAAACTGTTTCTAGGGAACTGCTCTAACTAAGGTGCCAAAAGTCAAGTTTTTAGTTATAATATCTGGAGCAAAAATTCCAGGGTTGATGTTTGGGAAGCCAAAAGCTGCTGTTAACGCATTCTCATCTCCAGTTCGTTGCCCGTCACTCCACTTCATAGGTAAAACCGTAACTACGTCCCTGCGCGTATTCTTGACTCGATTTCTCGGTTATATTGGAATCTAAGACACTGATCAATGCCAAGTTTCTGTCTAATCGTTTGAAACTTACATCAATAGTGTGCCTATAATGTAACCAAGATTGGCATGATAGTGTTTAAATTAGAACCTAATGTGCAGCACTACATGTTAACATTAGAGCTTCTCCTACAGCATCTCGATTGGCTTTTGCTGTTTTTATTCAAGGACGATATATGACGTTAGAGATGACTTGTCTGTAGTTCTGTATCGGTTTTGCAGGTGAGAGGGATTTCTTGAAGACAGAAGGTGAAGTTCTTGTAGAATCATTTGTAGAGCCAATGGTGATCCATCATTCAGGTGGACACATTATACCGAAACTTGGTTAGTAAGCATAAGAAGCTGATCATTCTTCACTTCTCGATACATTTAAGCTCTATTATTTGTAGAAGAGGAAGGAGAAATCTGCAATTGAAGTAAGAAACATAAGATCTGTCTCTTCTTATTTTGTTGCTCTTATGAGCTTTCTTTGTCTTCTGCAGATACTGAAGCTGAGGAGACAGTCTTGAGTTTCTTCCAGAGGATTAGGCAGATGCGTTCTGATGAATCAGCTCCTGTAAGAAGCTTGATGTGATTGAGAGCTACTCCAATATGGTTTACTTTAGATTAGGTGATGTGGCAAATTTAAAAATTGTGAGATGTGATTATTCTTTTGGATTTGTTTGTCTGGTTTAGTCTTTAATCCAGGGACAATTCAATAAACGTAAATAATTAAATTTACCAACCAAAATGGATGTGCTCGTTCTTGTAATTAAAATTTGTAGAGAACAACAAAAGATGATCAAATGTTTTGCTACCTTTTGATATATAAGCTCTATTAAAAAAGACTTTAATATTCATATTAACAAAATAATGATAAAAGTTCTAAAAATTTGTTCGGAAAATCAAAAACTCTATTCAATTTTATATTATTTTGTTATAGGAAAATGTTGGGAGAATTTTTAACAAAAAATGATGGAAGGAAAAAAAAAAAGAATGGAGGGGCACTAAAGATGGTGAGTTAAATTATTGTCCTTGAGCTGTATAGTAGTATTTATGGTCAAATGGATTCTCATGATAATCTATGAGTTCCACTAGTAACAAAGTTTTACTTCTTTTTCAATCTTCTCCTTATACCCTATTAACTTAGCCTTGTCGGTTGCTTTTTAGTCTTCTTTTATTTTTATTTTAAAAACTTTAAACCCTTTTTTATTCTTGTATGAAATAATTGATTGAACATATCGAATTACAGATCCTATGATTATAAATATATATGATAAACAGTAGACGTCGACATGGGTTGTGAAACTTCAGACTAAATATACCCATCATAAGTATTCTCACGCTTCCAAAGCTTTAAGCCTTTAACTGTTTAGTTTTTATGCACTTTTAACAAATCATCATCATAATATATATATATATATATATATATATATATATATATATATATATATCTATTTTGAATAACTTGGTTATATTTTGAATTAGTTGTTTGGTTTAATTTTTGTGTTGTTTCCCCTATTGTCATTGCTTATTACATACCAAACCACGATTTTAATAAAGTAGAAAATATTTTCTCGTGTCAATATCTAGTTGTGAATTGCGATGACCATATCCACGTTAATATATAGATATACGCAATGATTTAATTTCAAAGAGCCTATCATTGACTTAGGAAATCTATTAACTCATAAATTCTGTCTGGCATAAACATTGTTGAATAGTACTTTCTTACAATACTACTTCTGCCTCTTTTAGTTTGATAGTTTTCGTGTTACCTATTTATGATTTCTAATTTATCATCTTTTGAGATTTAAGTTTAATAAGAAATGTAAACATTATGATGAATACGAATAATGAACGGAGACAAATCCTCTGTGTGTCTCCACGTAGGAAAGCGGTTTCCCGCCAGCTGACAAGTACACGTCAGCACGTCATCTCAAACGTCTTTCAGTAATCCATTTGCTTCATTATTTCCTCCTCCTATTAGTCGGTGTTTTTATATTTTTCAGACTTTTCTTTTCTTGTAACATAAAAATTACACTTTTTGTTCGTATCAAATGAGTTATTTTTTTTGTTTGGTTTAACTCTCAAATGAGTTTTTATTATATTCACTCTTAAATCTTAATCCAAGCTTTGGAATTTGAGCCCTACAAAACATTCGCATTTATTACTGATGCGACACATATGTTACTTTAATCTTACGATACTATTATTCTGAAGAGAACGGTCAGCAAGTTTAATTTAAATCATCACAAATTGATGTTATTCCAAAATTTTCCAACATTTTACTGTCTATGAGATTGGATCAAATATTTGAATCTAAATGAGAGCGAATGTTGGTTTCCGTCTCGTGTTCTCGTATACCAATGCTACTTACTATTCCATTAAAGAAAATACAAATAAGAAATGCAAATGTTTTTTTTTAAAGAAAAAAGATCCACAAAATTTTCTGATTTGTTGTACAAATAACTTACGTAAATTCGTCATGCAATTTCGTGTTGATAAGACCAATGACCCTCGACTGAAGTAATGAAGAGACTAGTCGTTAACAAAATAAGTTGTATGAATATTATTAATTACTGCTGGTCGTTTAAAGAAAATAGTGAAAGGAAAAAAACAGTCGTCGTAGATCTAACGTCAGCATAAGTTAATCGGACGGTTAGAGGCTGAGAAATGATCATCTCATACGTTTCGTTTCTTCTTCACCTTTGCAACTTATCTACAAGTATTTAATGTATTTAAACTCTGTTTTATTTGATGACACAAAATAAAACAAAAGTTTTTTTAGTAATTATTTATACGGAATTATTTCGTACTAAAAAAAAAAAAAAAATTATTTAGTACTAATAATTCTGAAAAGTTGACAACAAAATTCAGACCTTGAAATTATTAAGGGCATTACTGATTTTGATGTGATTAGACTGCCCATCACTTTATTGCAGAAATATTAGTGCATATATTTATGCTATTGGCATATGGACAAAAATGTTTATCGCGTTTGTTTTGATTCTATCCCTTTTTTTTAGTTTCCCAAAAAGTTATCTCTAATATCATCCCATCTCTTTATTTATTTTTTAAATCCTACACTAAACTTTTTGTATTGCATGTCCAAAAATAACAAAAGCTTATTATTTCATTTTGAAAATTTTGTAAAAACCTTAGCTACTGTTTTTAAGGCGAGAACACCCTAGAAGTAATTCTGAAAAAGATAAACATGTTTTGTTATATCATTTTAATTTAAGGTTATTACATAATTTTTGAGTGTGCCCTTTTCTAATACAAAATTAGTAACATGTCCTTGCATTCTTATATGTAATTAACAATCTTTACAACTTTATAACCCACAAAAAAAATTCAGCAAATGGAACCAATTCAAAACAAACTCAAATCAATTTTTTTTTAACATACTTAAAACAACTTTCTTTTTTAGATCATAAACATGGTTAAAATAATAGTTGACAGAAACAGATCATGGTTAAAGTGATCCGACCAAATTGAATAGAATAAGTAATAGGAATACCTAATTAATAAGTAAGTAAAATAGCTCTTCAACTCTATTAAAATTAGAAAGAAAGAAAGAAAGAATTGTAAAAGATAAAGAAAGCGTTACAAAGTGTGGTTGAGGACAGATTATATTAGATTCCGAGTTCCAATAAACAAGAATGTATAGAGCAAAAAAAAAGATAAAAATAAAATAAAAACACTTCTCAAATCCCAAATCCAAAAGAGAGAGAGAGAGAGATAAAGAGAGAAAGATAATCTCTTTAATGTCCACATTATCTCTCTCTTCTTCTTCTCCTTCTTCTTCTCCTTCTTGAGAACATCCTCTCCCCAAAAACGACGTAGTTTCACATTTCTCCACTTCTTGAATGGAGTTTGAAGACAACAACAACGACGAAGAGCAAGAAGAGGATATGAATCTTCACGAGGAAGAAGAAGACGACGACGCCGTTTACGAATCTCCTCCTCTCTCTCGCGTTGTCCCCAAAGCCTCGACAGAAAGTCATGAAACCACCGGAACAACCTCCACAGGCGGTGGCGGAGGATTCATGGTTGTTCACGGCGGTGGAGGAAGCAGGTTTAGGTTCCGTGAGTGTCTCAAGAACCAAGCGGTGAACATAGGAGGACACGCGGTGGATGGTTGTGGTGAGTTTATGCCAGCTGGAATCGAAGGTACTATCGACGCGCTAAAATGCGCCGCTTGTGGCTGTCACCGTAACTTCCACCGCAAGGAATTACCTTACTTCCACCACGCGCCGCCACAACATCAGCCTCCTCCTCCTCCGCCAGGTTTTTACCGACTTCCAGCTCCGGTAAGCTACCGACCACCACCGTCACAAGCTCCTCCACTTCAGCTCGCTCTTCCTCCTCCACAAAGAGAGAGATCAGAAGATCCAATGGAGACTTCTTCTGCTGAAGCAGGAGGAGGAGGTATTAGGAAGAGGTATAGGACTAAGTTCACGGCTGAGCAAAAGGAGAGGATGTTAGCTTTAGCTGAGAGGATTGGATGGAGAATTCAGAGACAAGACGATGAAGTGATTCAGAGATTTTGTCAGGAGACTGGTGTTCCCAGACAAGTTCTTAAGGTTTGGTTACATAACAACAAACACACTCTTGGTAAGTCGCCGTCACCACTTCATCATCACCAGCCTCCTCCTCCTCCACCACCACAGTCTTCGTTTCATCATGAACAAGACCAACCATGAATCTTGAATTTCTTTGATCACTAGGGTTTTAATTTAGCTTAATTAATTACTTGAGAAATTTGAGAGAGAAGGTTTTTATTGTTTAATTTATGTACCCATTCTCGTCTTTGATGATGTTGGTGATGATCTTTCTGGTTAATTATGTTTTGCATTATTAGCTTCTAAGTCTCTTAGCAAAATCCTTGATTGGTCTGACTATATATTATACTGACGTCCTTAGTAGCGCATCATATGTGTCAGTGTTTGAATTTATCATCATGTTTTGTGTATGAATTTATATGAACTTGATCGTGCATATGTATGTGTATTTTGTGTATGCATTATATATATATACGTATGTCTTCATTAGCATATGATTTCATTTTTTTTTTGTGTATGAATACCTGTGTGTGAATCTTTTAATGCTCCCTAGCTAAGCTTGTTGACATTGTTATTGTATCTGAAGTTCCTAGTGTTTTAGAGTGTTATTATATTTGCTTGACCATTATTTTCCACACATACACACACATATTTAATTTATAGCTAGATCTGATAGTGTTCTTTGTTTCTTAAGTTCTAGGTTTTTGAGTGATAATATAGTCTTGATCATACATAAATTGGTTATTGTTATTATTATTATATGTTTTGTGGGATCAATTATATATATACTTCTCATTTAATTGTCCAATGAGTGTAGGACTCAAATGTGGATCGGTCGGAATCTCCTTGGGATGGAGATCTCTGCCCTAAAAATATATTTCAATGGCTTATATTATTAGTATCATATATGCGTGGATTCCTCAATCACCAATCAGTATATATATTTATTCACTTAAAATAAATTAATTTTCTCCCGTTGGAAAATGATAAAGGTGAAATAGCATGAGCTAGCTGCTGCAACAGTATTCTGATTCCTGGGAATTAATTCTTCACTCAAAAAAAAAAAAAAAAAAAAAAAACTCAAAACATGTCGATGCATCCAAAGCTTCACATATCCTCTTTCTGTCTTATACTATAGTAATTTATAAGTATGTCTATGCTCTTCTTTTGAAGATCTGGGGAAGAAGGAAACATGTGGGCTTCTTTGGAAGCAAGAAGGAGAAGAGAGAAAAACATATGGGCACACATACATTACTGCATTAATGATGTTCTTCTTCCAAATCCCTAGACATTCAATTGGAAGTAATTTTGATTAATACTCCCTCTGTTTCAGTTTAGTTGTCGTTTTAAAATTTAAATTTTGTTTCATAATAGTTGTCGTTTTTGGTTTTCAATGCAAATGTTTGGTGAAAATTCCAGTTTTATCCCTACAGTTTTAATGTTTTGACCAATGAAATTTTTTATAAAATATATTAATAAAGAGTAATACAGAAAATTTAATGCTTTCTTAATTTGTGTGAAAAAACCTTAAACGACAACTAAAACGAAACGGAAGGAGTATTTCTTAAGATCATTCACACACTTAATTCACCTTTTAGAGATAATTTGGGTAAGTAACATTTAATTTAAACGAGCAAAAACCCTTTTCCATTCGTTCCATGTGATGGTAATGTAATAACAATTTGTATAGTAATAAATCATTTCGTATAGTAATAACATCAATTTGAACAAGTTAATAGTAATTATAATTAATAAAAGTGGTTCGGCCTAGTAATTCATTGACTAAGGCAATCATGTACATAGGAAAATATCTGAGACGAACAAAATTTAATGAACTTAGAGGAAATTAGGGTTTTGAGTGATAGTGAAATGAAATATGCAGAGGAAAGAGGGAACCAAAATGATTGTAAAAGGAAAGAAGAGGCAGATAAGATTCGAGTCCCCATCTCACGGCCATTTCCATATATAGCTTTTCATGTCTCTACCTCTCTATCTTCTCTCTCTATTTCTCTTTGAGACAATGCAATAAAAATGGAAAGAGAGAGAGAGAAAGAGAGACAAATATACACACAAATGAAGAGACTTGAGAGAGATGCTTTTGCTTGATAAGGCAATCTCTACGCCTTCTTGTCTAAGCTAAAGCTGCACACTCCTAGAGTGAAGATGACTTTGTTGTGGTCCTCTTTCATTTCTCTCTTTCTTTTTTTTGGGTCACAAATTTCAAACGCGTTAACCTCAATTCATGACTCGGATCGAGTTTGAACTTTGATCAACACATGTTTGGAAATAATCATTAACGTTTGTAAATATACCATTTTCTAATATGGTTTCGACTTTTAAAAGTTGTATGGACCAAAGTTCCAGTTGCTTTACAAGTAAAACGCATTTAGCTCAACCGCAGAGTATCTAATTAGTTTGAAAGTTAGAGAATTCAGTTGATCTTAAACTTGAATACAAGTCTGTATTAAGAAAGATCGTAATTTGACGTAAAATTCTTAATTGCTAGAAAACTTTAGTTTTGGTCGAGGAGTCTACATTGGTTTATAAAATGAATTATAAGAAAAATAATGATGGTGACATGTATAATAGTATTACGATTAAAAGATTTATTCAGAGGGGAAAAATGTTTACTCGCTGATGCAGTAATGAGAAATGTTCGTACCATACGTTGGAGTCTGGACTTGCAATAAATGTTCATAGAAAGTAGTGAAAGTGGTTAAGTTAATTTTAGCAAAGAAAAGAAAAGTAGTTAAGTAAATAAAATTTAGGGTTGTTTTTGGGTTTATGTAAGGTAATATTAAATTATTGAGGTACAAAATATTTTGATCAGATACTAATAATATTTATTTAAACAATGATTTTTTTTACTGTGGTCCTCTTCATGGAATCTTTCAGTCAATACGCAGAAACCCATCGGACAACGACCCATCAATGTGTATATAATGTACCATACATATACACATGAGTGTATACGTATATATCAGCATCATCATCATCATTATCATCACCATCATCATTCTCACAGTGTTTTTACTGTGGAATAGTTACTGTCGTTATGCTTCATTTAGGGAATCTAAATGTGACCCACAAGCAGGTTTTATTACCACCCTTTCAAGCTAAGTTTCGAAACAAGTAATGTATTACATGAAAAAGTAAAAAGCTTGATTTTGATTGCGTAAATTTAAATATAGGACCAACTAGGGTTAGGGTTTTACATTTCTTTAAACTATATGCTATTGGCATAGTCTTAGCTTCATAAACATTGCCCTAATTTGGAAAACTGATGATGATTCACGTGCAATGAAAAAAACTTTTTTTTTTTTTTTAATATCCTTTCATAGTACAATTATCACCGATTCTTAAGCATGTAGTTAATTAGTCACTTCGTACCATAATTCAAAGAATTTTACGATTGTATGGAATTCTTAAATAATTATTTTTCTTTATACAAAAGGAAGAATATTTCAGATTTGTATGGGTTCTAGTGGAATTGGTTAGTACTATCTTAGATTAAATTTGCTAATCTAATACAAATTGTTGGGAAAAAAGGAAAAGTATTTTCTCTTTAGTTCTATTCTATGTGTAAAAGAAAAAGCAAAGGTTGAGAAAAGTTTAGAAGCTATAACTTTTAGCAAAAAAATTGTCACGGAAAATAATAAATAATATATATATTTGGACTGAATGACTGTGACGACTCATAATGACAAAGCCCAATGAGAGAATTATAAAAGTTTATTTGTTTTGTATTGTTGTCTTCACTTAGTCCACTGTCCAAATAGTTCTTCATTTCAAATTTCTCACACTCAATCGCACACAGACATATAATTATTTGAGCGTATATATATCACTGCGTGAAGATTAATTTTGAATGTGTCTGTAAATAACTAAATATACGTTTATATGCGGATCCCAGAGTTAAACACCAACATTTTTAGTGAAAAGCTAAATAAATTAAAAATTCTAGTATAGCTAGGCAGTGATAAAGTAAAATTAGTAGTCACATAGTTGTCAATGACAGATGATCATATGGTTATTAAAGCTTAATTACATTATTCGTTTTATAGGTTATTGAGACATATAGAAAATAACTTAAAATAATTACGATTATAACTCACACAATTATTTGCTGTAAAAAAAAAAGAAAAAAAAACTCGTACACAATTTTTCATTTTAAGGAAAATATATACCAACTAATATTTGTTAGTATATAATTAAGTTAAATATATCTTAATTAGTTTTATTTTTCTAGAGATGTAAAGATGAAAAACAAATATGTTGGTTATAGGTTAGGGGCTTTTGCAAAAATGCCACTTTTTCAATGTCATTTTTCAAAAATATCCTCTTTTTAAAACCTTATAAAAAATGCTTTTAAAAATATAAGATTTACCCAAATATGTATGTAATATTATTAAAACATACACAAACTACATTTATATGTATCTAAAATCTTATAAATACTTTATAAATATCTTATAAATGCATTTTAAATACCTTTAAAAATCTTTAAAATATCTTGTAAAACCTTTGAAAAACCTTAAAAATCCTTTAAAATAACTTGTAAAACCTTTAAAAACACCTTATAAAACCTTATAAATACTTGGATCGAGTCTTCAAGTAGTAGTTACAATCCATAAGTACCTTATAAACCTAATAAAACTTTATAAAAATTTCTTTAAAAAAAGGTATTTTTGAAAATGGACATCTAAAAGGAGCATTTTTGAAAATAGGCACACCAAAAGAGGTATTTTTAACAATTTCCCTATAGATTATTAGTTTTCCATAATAATAATTAATAAGTTTAAATGTAACTTAATTTTTTATATATTTAAATAGTATTTGTTCATTGTAAATTTTAATTGTATATGATAATGTTCTAGTGAAAATATTTTCATACTTATGGAAACAGAAAAGAAAAAAAAAAACTATTTTCACGTTTTTTTACACAACTATTTTCATAAAGAATGTGTATTTAAAAAATGATACAAAAAAGGGGAAATCTTCATAAATTTTCTCCACACACGATTATTTATTTCACGATCGTCAAATTGTTGAATGCCATGCGATGCGACAATGGTAGGCCCAAATGATTAAATTTAATGAATATAGCGTTGGCCCATTTCTTCATAGTTACAGATCCTAGAGGTTTAGTGGACCTGGGGTCCAATCATTTTTTTTTTTTTTATTATCAATAAAATATTGGGATTTTGGAGTTTTGTTGATAAAGGTATAAAACACAAAAAGCTCCATAAAACAACTTAACTTTGGTCTCTTACGTCAACTTTAAGTCAAAGACTTCTGTTCGTGGGCCCAATTCCAGGCCCATTAGTGCGATGCGCGCTTTATCTCACAACGACATCGTTTGAATTAGAAATAAAGTCAACTCTTAACGCTTGACACAACCGATACGGTTTTTTTCCCGCTATATTTATTTGGCGGGAACCAATTAAAAAAAATCCCTGTTTTCTTTTCTTTCCTCTGTTTGCTATTTCCTACCAACAAAAAATTCTTAATAAAATCCATCCCAATTTATTTTGCAGAGTATTACCAAAGCTATTAACAAAATAAATATTGGAATTGATACATTTTTATTTATTTTTAAAATTTTGCTTTGAATATTTTCCTCTTTCTCTCAATCTCTCATCAGATATCATAATGATAATAATAATTTAAGAAAAAAAAAACAGAGAAAATCTAAGAAAGATGTGTATAAGAAGAAGAAGAATCATGGGTCTTAAAGCTGAAACAACAAGCTGATACTTCTAAAACCCCATTGGGTGTTTGTGAACATAAGCCTGAACCATCACTCCGTATCATTTCCCCAATCTTCTTCACTCTCTCCTGCAACACAGTTTAAGCAATAAAAGGAACCACAAAGTTTAAAGCTCGACACTTTTGTTTTTGTCTCTTGAACACAAACACAGATACAAGCATCTTATCAGCTTTTTCGGGTGTAGAAAAAATAACTAAATGGAAACCATTTTGGATTGCAAGATCAAATCAGAATCAACTTATACCACAACATGTTTTGTGGGGGCAGATTGGTTTTAGATGTGACTAGAGAGTGTTGTGCAGTGAGTGAGTGTGTGTGAGAGAGAAAGAGTCACAAGATCCACAGCTAGAGAATAATTTAATTTAAAGTGGTCTTTGGTCTATACTCTCCACCCTTAGTTTTGGAAGTCAAAGGATTCAGACCCATTAACCAGTTTCTCTTTTTTTGTTTCTTTTACTTTTTAGAAATATAATTACACATGTGTATGCAATGAATAAGTTAGTGCACACACATAAACATAAATGTGTCATCTTTAATGAGTTCAAACTTCTCCACAACTGGCATTTCCTTGAAATTGAACTACCAAAGGCTGCTTTATAAGTGTGTGTGTGTTTGGTATTAAAAAAATAGATTCATGAGTTTGGTGGATTGTTTTTACCTTTTGAAGTAGTGAGAAAAGAGGAGAGTTGTCAAAGTGTACTGTGTGCAATTCTCCAGAAACAGAAAGTGCCACAGCAGCAGCAACTTCAGAAGGTCTAAACTCCATAAAGTCAATACCTGCTCACTCGACACACCCACCATTTTAATCCAAATTCATAAAAAGCAAAAGTGAAAAAAAAACCAAAAACCCAAAAAAGCACAAAAACAAAAGTGGTCAAGAAAATAAAACATAAAGGAGAGACTTTTTTTTCACCTTTGGTTGTGCTGGCTATCACTTGTAGTGATCTGGATATCAATGTGTTGGATGGTTCTTGATCACATTTATTCATCTTTCTCAAGAAATATCTTATGTATGAGCATGGAGTTATTGCTCTCAATCTCCATTTCAATCTGTTCAGCACCAAAAGTTCCATTCTTTGGATTGATTTAGCCTCAAACACAAACTGAGGATCTCCAACCTGTTCCAAAAATGTGATCAAACCGCAATCGATTCAAGACATTATCGGGTCGAATAGAATATCTCGACAATTTAACGAGTTTTGAGGAGAACCTGAAGATCAATTAACATTGGAACTTCAGTTTCTTCAATTTTGGCTGCCAAGGATAAACAAGCCACAGCCAACAACTGCAATATCCAACCTTTGCCACTCTACAAGAAGAATCACAAATCAAGAAGCTAAAAAGTGGGACTTTTAGATGAATGAATGGCTAACAACATTCTCAATCACTTAGTTTAAGTAATGTGAACTTACAGGCAGATCATGAACCGATAAGAATCGATCCAAGTAGTTCATTGATAAGCAAAAACACAATGGTCCAAACTGGTGTTCCTTACAAGCCTGTTGTAATCAGAACAGGAGAAACATCAATCAGAGATCTAAAACACTGAGATTGAAGTGTGAAAGATCGGAATTTGAGCATCAGATTTCACAGATTGAAGACAAAACCTCTCTACCTGTTCTGCATAGGCCTCTGATCTAATAGACATAGCAACACACTCTTTATATTCAGATCATTCATCAAAAGGAATGTGATTTTCACAATTTGAGCTTATAAAGATGATTCAAAATCCGAATTTCAAAATTAAATAGAAAATCAGACCTTCCAAATCCAATTGAGTGCTTCTCTTCTTCCAATATTCAAATCCAAATCTCCACTTCTGAGTCTCTTGATGTAATCATCACTTGGCAAATGCTGCTTCTCCTTCTCCACCATCTCTTTGATAAACTCTTCACTCTCCGATTGAGATAAACCCATCTGAGGAAACGGAGTTTTGTCAACAATCATGCCCTTGTCTTCATCATCATCAACGTTGGTCTCTGTACATAAAAGACTCAGTTCTAGATTCTCTGTCTCTGCCATTATAACAGAGTGTTCATAAGAAAGAAAAATTGATCCTTTTGTTTGTTTGTTTGTTTGTAATCGATCTAAAAAGAATTGTATCGTTAGGAAAATTGGAGAAGGATTGTCATCTAGAGATTGGGGAAGGGAAAGAAAAAGATTGGGTCTTTGTTTTTCTATATGCCCTCGTGGAAGGGGTTTTTGTTTTGGGGTTGAGGGTAAAAATTAAAAATTAAAGGGTGAAGCTTTTCTTTTTTTATTGAGGAAGTTAAGAAATGTGGTTTTTAGGGTAAGTTGGAAATGTGTGAGAGACTGTTCATATATAATGGTGAAGAAGATGAAAAATAGAAGATAAAATTTGAAGATTTTAGAAAGTGAATTGACTATCATGGTAACAAATGTTCCTTCATTGGAAAATTTATGAAAATGTGGTAGGAAATTAAGGTGAAGATTGAAAAGTTAGTTGGTTTTATTCGTTGTATTTTCGTTTTTAGATGATCATTCGAGTAAATATCCGTTGGTAGTTCGGTATCAGATTCGCGCCAAATATTTTTCGGTCCTTTGAACGAAGTCAAAGGTTTACATTTTTGTATATTCAATACTAAAATATTGAATGTTGAAAGAGTAATCATGGTATGTATATGTTTTTACATATTATTTGCCATTTCATAATTTTATTCGAAGTTTTAATTAAAAATGAATGTATAAAGTTTGACTAATAGTTTAACACAGTATAAATTCTGTAAATTTTAGAAAATATTTTTTAACAAAACTGTTTGACTAAATAATGCAATTTGATATTATGATCGAAATATTCGCTGAACCATGATATTTTATTTTCAATATCCCATATTGAACAAAATAAAATTGACCCAAACAAACTAATGTAAATTCATGCCATAAATAAAAAGATGTTTTAAATGTAATTTTTGGCTCAAAAATCAAAATCCATCTATAATGATATTTGATCCATTTGCTCTGGTAGATCTTTGACCACTGTTTTTGACTCTAGGGTCACTTTTAGACACAATAATTTCAATTACTACATCATTGCATATACCTTTGAATGAAAAAAGCAGACTGTATATTTGTATAAGAACCACGTCATATACTAATTTAAGTTCAAAATATGGTCTTTGTTTCTTACACATTATGGTCTTTCTTTAATATGGTTTTAGTTTACCAAAATATACTGTCTTCTGTTTTACCCAACTTATAAGATTAACTATAAGGTCTTTAATATTTATAAAACTACTTCTTTTTGTTCTCTTGCAAGTGGAGGTCAAGTCTTCTAAGCCACAACTAGTGCTCTATCACCTCCAAAGATTCTACATTAGTATATTTGTAAGGTGATTAGTAATTTTTTTGGTTTGATAAATAGTAATTAGTATTTTTTTCTACCACTTGAAAATAAGCACTACGCGACGAGTTGCGTGAAAACACCACACAAGAAAATTTCTTGCTTGAAGTTACATTGCAAATGGTCATCGAGCCATTGGTTTCAACTTTTTTTTTTTTTTTTTTTGTTTTTTTTTTTGTTTTCATTGGTTTCAACTTTCAACTACTATGGAATGAAACATTGATTCGTTATCATTTTAGGGTTTTAACGGTCTTATTATGTAGGAAGAAAATAAATTAAATTACACAAATTTTCATTGCAATTACTAAGAAATTTTTCGTTGAAAACAGTTATTATACTTTTTTTCATACAATTGAAGTGTTACTTTCAAAAATCAAGTTTCATTCTATATAATTTCTATTATTCTTACAATTTTCATATTTTCTCGTTTCTTCATTACGAGTTTTAAAGTAGTTTTCAATAAGAGATAACTACGACCGCAAGCATGTTTGATGTTTTGGTTTGGAGAATTTTATAAGACAAAGAAATGAAAATCAAATCACGTGTGAGCTGATAAACCTTGATGTTTTTTAACAGTCTTTGATTATCTTTTCGGGTAGAGCGGTGAGAAGAAACAAAAGTTTAAGTTAAAGTAAAATAAGAGTGAAGTGTTTTTTCGAATTAAACTAAAAAGACTCACTCTTTATGATTTTTATTTTCTTTCATGCATGCAAATGCCAGACAAAAGTGGTCCAAGTGCACTTTTGATGTTTTGCTTCTCTTTGTGTGTTCTGAGATTTTAACTTGTAAGTTGATGCCTCTTTCTATATAACTCTTTTTTTTTTTTTTTGTATAGTTGAATATATAATTCGTGTTTTATGCACGCCTATGTCAACTTAAACAAAACATTTTGCTCGAGTCACATGGCCTGATGGTTCAAATCCGATGTTTAGATGTTTTTTTTTTTTTTGGGTAGGATTTATAATGTAAATGTCCCCGCTCGGCCAAGAAGGCACACCCCCGCCCGGCCATAGATCCAACTTCGAGAATTTAGTGATATTCGCAATGCAGCTTACTATTTACGTCGCCATTTTATTCTAGTTATAGTTTATGTTTCTATGTTTTTTTTTGTCATGTGACAATTTGTGTAACTGTAATATGTTACAATTTGTCATCAATTGTTTACATTCTTAACAAAAAAAATTAGATAACTTGCATCAAATTACATATCCCATCCAAAACTGAAATTAGCCGTGTTAATCATATTTTTGTGTGTTTTGTCTACCATCATTTGATTTTTGGTAATTTGTTAGTCATTTTCTTTGATGTTTCGTCTAGCAATTGGGATATGTTAGTCATTTTTTTGTGTGTGGGAGATGGATATGGATGTTGATCGTCAGGGTCCAAGTTAGCATAATTATAGTGTGTTTGGACTAGTGACGTTTGATTTGGACAGGGGTGTTGTTAGGTTTGTTAATTATTTATGTGTGTTTCGTCTAGCAATCATTTGTTGTTTTAACGATTAGGGATCAAGTTAGTAATTTTAGTGTTTCGACTATCGATCGTTTGGTTAGGGCGATTAGATTTGTTAGTCGTTTGTGTGTCCGTCATTCCTCTACCACACACGCCCATCTGCACAGTCTACACATACACACATTCACCCTATACATACATCTATTATGTTGCATACACACGTCCCCACTATTTCTCATTCACATCCTATACACATCTATACATTTCCATGTCACCAAAGAAAAAAGACATGTTACGATCGTTTTATATACAGTCTGGCTAACTTCAAAGGCTGTCCAAGCAGAAGATGGAAAGCTCTGGACACAACCCTAGGCTTCGTTTTCCTTCACTACCACTCTGCAAAATTAGTCAAGATCAATTTTCATTACAATCCTTTCTTCCGATTGTCTACATTTGTTGCAGATGTATTAATTACGTTTACTTTAAAAATCCAAAAATCTTTTTAGACAAAACCTTTATTCCTTTGCTTTCACAAAAACTAAAAACCCATTCTATGTTTCCTAGACAAAACTCAGAACACCATAGATCTCACATCATTGAAGTCAAGACAACATGATATATAATTAAAGTCTTAAAGACACATACAAATAACTAAAATCAGTTTACTAAACAACAAAACAGAGTCATGACAGCTAAACAGAGCATCTGAATGTTTTTTTTTGGTAAACATGTGAAGAAGAGCATCTGAATGTTTGTTGAACTCCACAAAAACATATTTGAAAGATGAGAAATAGTGTAGTTAATAGGGGAATCTTAGAATGGTAAACAAACTACAGGAATTCATTATTAGGGCAGAGTATTTTGCCTTGTATATATGCCTTCATATTCGTTTCTCTCTCGGCTAATGAGAATTATAGATAAGTTCGAGTGGAGAACTCAAGAACAGAACTAAAAGAATCAAAACAGTGTGTATTCGACATATGTGAAATTATAAGAGAATTAAGATTTGTGACCGAAGAAAGGAGGTACTTATAGAGTCATAATCAGCGATTTTTACGATAAAATATTACATCAGACGGTCGGAAAAATGTTACCGTTTCACAACGTTATTGTTCAGTCTTGATGATTTAAGTTGTCTAATTTCCTCTTCTTTTTCTGTTACTTCTCCGGTCCTTCTTTCAGCTATTTCTCTGATCTATTCGAGTTTCAATTATACTACTAGAAAGCAAATTCTTAAAAACAACTGAACTAAATATATCAAACCGTAAAATTGACCACTCATACGTGAAATCATGTTTTCGTCTACAAAGCTACACGCATCGTTTCATCACTCAGGAAGGAACTCACAATCCAAAGCTTGGGACACTGTTACTCGTTTGAGATATAAAATTTTGAAAAAGAAGAAGCAAAGATAAGGATAAATTACCAAACAAAAACAGAGTTGGTACAGAGCAGCAGATAACACCAAAGCTGTGCACATAATCTGTCATAAAAAAACAAACTTTTCTTTTCGACAAGTTTTACAGCAAAGGGAGTTGGACTCACTCAGGTTTCCGGTTATGGTTGCAGAAACATTACATAACCGTCTTTCTTCCATTAGACCTTCAGGCCTCATCCATCTGCTCCTGAATAAAGCAGTGGATCGTTGAGTTTTGGGGTGTTATTATCCAAATAGTCTTATAAGAGTATCAATATGCGAGTTTCTAGTGATGCGATTGAATATGAAAAGTATAGAATTGGACAAACCTGCATATCGGAGGTCCAAAGGGTTAGATTGTCCCTCAGCAACTGCATGATGAGAGTACTGTCCTTGTATGACTCCTCTCCCAATGTGTCCAGCTCAGCAATGGCTTCTTCAAAAGCCTATACAGGTGATGAATCCAACAAGAACAAGTTAGAAATGCAATGATCATATATCTCTTTAGTCTCATTAAATCTTTGTATATGTGATGCATGAGATGTTCCGGATTCAGCATGCACCAAAATCCCAATGATTCTACTCAATCTCGTATGCATAATGTATGAGATCTTGTGGTTGGTTCTAAAGTCCCGTCATTTTAAGAGATTCTACTGACAAAAGGAATGATTTGTTTAATGTGAAGAAGGTTAGGTCAAAAAAGTTGAATAAAAAGAGGACTTTACACTTTGCAGAATGTCTTTTTCTTTAGAATCTCTGTTCATTAAAAAGAAGTGGGTCCGTTCAGAAAAAAAGAAAGAGTTACTTTTTGTAAACAACTTCTCTATTTCTGGTTAAGGTTTCAAAATCAATCCAACACAAAAGATGGGGACAATAGGAATAGTAAAAACAAGTGGCCAGTTAGTCACTCAAAACATCAAGCAAAAAAACTCTTCCTAACCAAAACTTAAGACAATGATCAGACAGAGAAACTCTAGTTGAAAAAAACATGCAGTATATAGGATGAAGAAAGAGTACCTGTTTGGCCATGCTACAAGCTTTCTCTGAAGAGTTGAGAATCTCGTAGTAAAACACTGAGAAATTGAGAGCCAGACCCAGCCTGATCGGATGTGTTGGTGCTAGATCAGCAACCGCAACGTCCTTCAAAACAAAAACCCATGAATGAGCAAAAGTACATATTTTCAGATATAGCTGAGTTCTTTAAAAGAAAGACAGATTACGGAAGCAATTGATAGCTCTTTACTTCTCACGATGATCTGAATCAATACAATAGCTTAATTCCAAAACCAATTCAAGGATTAATGAAGTCAAACATATACCTGAGCAGCTTTGTAAGCGATCATAGTATCTTCCGCAGCTGTTTTCCTCTCATCACCAGATTTAAACTCAGCCAAATAACGATGATAATCTCCTTTCATCTTCAAGTAAAAAACCTTAGACTCACTAGCAGTAGCTGAAGGAATCAGATGCGAATCAAGCAACCTGAGAATTCCAGAACAGATCGAAGAAAGCTCACTCTCAACTTTAGATCTGTAATCCTTCACAAGCGACACGTGTTCTTCGTTCTTCCTGCTCTCTTCCTTTTGCTCAATCGAAGAAACGATTCTCCATGCCGCACGAAGAGATCCAATCACGTTCTTATACGCGACGGAGAGAAGATTCCTCTCTTCAACGGTGAGTTCACCGGCCGGTGTTGCTCCACTTACGAGCTGCTCCATGAATTGAACCATCTCTTCGTAACGCTCAGCTTGCTCAGCAAGCTTCGCCATGTACACGTATTGATCTCTGTTTAACGTCGTCGCCATTAGAGAAGAAGATCTCGATTTTTTAATTTTCTTTTAGATTTCGCCGGAAAAGTTTTGAAATCGGAGGAAATTTCTGAGAGAAAAAAAGAAATTGAGAAGAAGAAAAGAAGAATAAAAAGCCTCAAAGCCGAGTCATAATGAGCTGTAAAAGGAAATTCTCTTCACTCGCGCGTGATTAACACTCTCTTATAAACGATGCCGTTGCTTGAAATAAGCGTTAATAGCGTGAAACGCACGTGGCGGGTGTGAGGCGCGTGGCTAGGGTTTTGGTTTTTTGATAAGAGCGAGTGGATGGACGATAATAATTTAGTACGTCAGCTTCCCCCACCAGTGTCAACTGTTCAAAGTCAAATGTTATAACATGGGCTTTTGATTAGGCCTTTATGGGCCTTTAGTAAGCCCGTTAAAGCTATTACCTTGCTGGCTAAGCAAATGCGTTTTCGGCGTGACCTGGACACAACTCATGCGGTCGGAGAAAAGGCATATGAAGACAAGAAAAAGTTGTCTAAATTCTTTCGGTTGATATTAGTTTCTTTCTTTAATTTTTAGATTAATTTATTGATAAAAGAAATTAATTAGATGTCAATTTCCAATACCTCAAATTTAAAACCGCGGATCAAATTAATTGAATTCGTTTTTATGGTTTTTATTTGTTGATTCATTGTGTTTCAATAAATGAGAATTGATGAAAAATATGCTCCATTAATTTGATTAGTCAAATGAGATAATTGAGACCCGGCAAGACATTTGGTAGGCATGGAAAAGAAAAAAAAAATATAGAGTTGGTTAGTCAAATGCGACCAAATCATTAGAACGAAAATCTGAATGACTCATCTTTTTAATATTTGTAAGTTGTTTAGATTATTGGGTTTACTAAATACTCGTAATTCTTTTTATTATAACAAAAAAAAAAACCAAAATTCTCAAAAAAAAAACAATAATGCTAATTGATTCTTCGATACACGCACCGTCACGCGCGCATAACGTTGCCGTTATGGAGAAAGAAAGGGCGTATCTCCACTTGCCACGTCAGAATTACGGTAAGCGTAAATTAAAGTCTCCGTCACCGTCAATTGACGTCTCCATCCAACGCCGCTCTTCTTCTCCACTCTCACCGTATATATTTTTTTCCTTTGATGGCGCAACTTTTTTACTAAACTCTCATAAAAAAAAAATGGAAGATTAAAAAAAAAAAGAAAGAGAAAGAAATATACGATCTTCAACGATCTTCCATTTTCGTTCTTCATTGTGAAATTCAAGTCCAATGACTGTCACTGGTGGAATTTTCCCTCTGTAGTCACTTTGGAGAAATTTTACCAGTTTGTTCTACTGGAAAAATATCTGGTTTCACACTTGTGTTGACTCTCTCACTGGAAAAAAAAATAAAAATCTCCGAAGAGTCTTCTCTGGGCAGTGTAAGTAAGCTAATGCATTAACATTTGTGGTTTTGATAAAGTAGATCGATTCTCCAATTTTGTGAGTTTCCGTTCACGATTTCGCTTTCTTTCATGTCAATTTCGTGAAAGAGAGAGCAAAAAGTAATCCTCATTTTTCTCCATTCTCTTTTTGCCGTTTCACTAGAATTTCGTTTGATTTCGTTTCCAGATAAATTTCAGTTGCTATGTTTTAGGGATTTCACTATTGAACTGCGATTTGATTGTTGAATGTGGATGAAATTTTTGATAATTTCTTCTGAAATTTAGGGTTATAAGGTAAGGAGCAATGTTCAGGGAAGCTGGCTTGAGAAGCTTAGGAGAGGTACGAACAAAATTTTATCTGCATTTTCGATTTTGTTTTGATTTTGCTGTAACTAATTGCTTGTTTTAAGATGTTTATAGGATGTTGGTTCGAGGTGGACGATTGGTAATCGCAAATTGGATGCTAAGAAAACTGTTGCCAATTCTGGTCATGGTTTTGGATTCAAGAGTGCTCCTCCATTGTCTTCAGTAACTAAACCCGTGAGAGGTAATAACAATGGTGGTTCAAGTTCAGACATGGACATTGCTTCTGATTCAGATGAAGAGATATTCGAGAGGCAACACTCTCCTCAAGATTATAGAATTCATGTTGGTTTGCCTCACGTGGCAGCTCAAAATGGACTTGGACGTAATGGTGCTAAGGTCTTTGGTGCTGCTGATGAGTTATCAGACTCAGCTACAAGCACTGAAGTTTCATATGTACTTTACTTTTATCCCTGCTTCTGTCTTGTTTTCCTTTACCGCTTCTAAAAGATTATGGTACTTCGTATATATGTTCTGATTTGATTATAATGTTTACAGGAAGCAGAAGCTTGTGGTGTGCGGAATAATATATCTTCGCATAATGAATGTGAAAGAAGAAATGTTGAGGGTGGAACTTCAGGAAGGACCCAGAACGGGACTAGCACTTCAACAAGTTCATTGCCTCGCTTTCCCACCTTTCATGCGAGGTTTGAGTTACATAGCTGAGTTATATTTTGCTTTCTTGTTTTTTTTTTTTTCATCTCTGTAATTATTCATTCCTTCATTTTTTTGTGTGGTTTGAATGCAGTGAGCAAGGTCCATGGTCTGCAATGATTGCCTACGAAGCCTGTGTGCGGTTATGTCTTCATTCATGGTCAACGGATAGTGTCAGCGAGGCTTCTTACTTCCTGAACAATGAATGCACCATAATGAGGAATGCATTTAGTTTGCAGAGGTTTTTCCTTCATTCTGAAGAAGAGTTACTGGGAAAGGGACCTTCTGAGTTGGTTACCGAGACATCTGCTCCAAAATCTAAGAAGAATATCGGAAAAATTAGACTCCAAGGTTTGTATCTTCTTATCCTCCCACTGCATTTTATCACTTACAAGAAATTGCAGTAGTTGTGCTTACAAGAGTTTGATTTTGTACAGTTCGTAGAATTAAAATGGGATTAGATCCACCACCTGGTTGTAACATTGCAACACTGACGGTCTCCAAGGAAAAGCTCGATGTTGTTCGTCAGCATATTGTGGAACTGAATTCGACTTTATCTTCTGGATGGAAAGCAGCGAGGAAAGTTCATGTCACTCCCCAAGTTCCTCTAAATGGTTCACTTTCGCGTCAAAGTTTGGCTTACATGCAGGCTGCTGCTCGCTACCTTAAGCAGGTCTCAAAGGCCGTTAAAAACGAAATTGTTACGTCTCACACTGGACCGCAAACTTATGAAGCAGTACAAGGTATTGCATTGTACTTTGGACATAACTCATTGTCTTATCATGGTCATAGATTTTTGATTATTTCTGTTTTCAGAAACATATTCATGTTCATTGAGGTTAAAGAGCTCTGCTGAAGATGATCAAATTAAGACGCAACCTGGATCTGGCGAAACGTTTATTTTGTATGTGCCCTTGTTTACTCACATGATGTTTAAGGATCATTCTTTCTATTCCTTTCTTTGTGGATCTTAATATTCTTTTCTCTTGTAGCTTACCAGATAGTCTTGGTGATGATTTGATTATTGAAGTTCGAGATTCAAAGGGGCAACTTCTTGGTCGTGTCGTAGCTCAGCTAGCAGCTATAGCTGATGATCCGGTAAGCTTCTCTCTCTCTCTCTCTCTCTCTCTCACACGCATTATGTTTTCAGATTACTGATTCCATTGGACGATGAAGCTGAAGATCTGATGTTTTTTCTTTTTTTTTTTTTCTGAAGCAGAGTGAAAAACTGCGATGGTTGCCAATATATCATGAACCAGAGCATGAACTAATTGGGAGAATCCAACTTAGTTTTAGTTACTCAAGTAGTTTAGATGAAAAAACAAAGTGTGGGTTGGTGGCAGAAACTTCAGCGTATGATCTTGTCCTAGAGGTGGCTATGAAAGCAGAACGATTTCAGCGAAGAAATTTATTGTTTAAGGGCCCGTGGCATTGGATGATAACTCGATTTGCATCCTATTACGGGGTTTCAGATGCATACACTAGATTAAGGTAATCATTGAGTGACTAAGAATGGTTTTAGTGTCTTAAAATTCTGTTGCAGTAACTAAACGATGTTTTGTGAGAACTTGCAGATATCTTTCTTATGTCATGGATGTCGCATCGCCTACCAAGGACTGTCTTGATCTGATACATGATTTTCTATTCCCTATTTTAATGACCAGCAACCACAAGGCTGTATTGAGTCATCAAGAGGTGAATTAGCTTTGATCATCAAATTGTTATCTTTTCAGTATTCAAGTAGCTTACTTCAACCTTTGGTCCTTTGGTCAGAATCGATTACTTGGGGAAATTGACGAACAAATTCAGCAGATTCTTGCTTCAGCATTTGAGAATTATAAATCACTTGATGAACTGTCTTTCTCCGGGATGAAAGATGTTTTTGAGTCTGCTACGGGGACTCCAGCACCTGCTATAGAATCAGCTGTCAAGCTCTATGGTCTTCTCAACGATGTATTAACCCCCGAGGCACAGTTGAAACTCTGCAGATACTTTCAGGTATTAATCAAACTTTTATCTGTTTTCTTAACCATCTTTTTCTTGAGTTGTATATGTGATTTATCACCTATGAAAATTTCTTCAGGCGGCTTCAAAGAAGAGGTCAAGAAGACATTTATTGGAAACAAACGATTTACTTAACAACCGTAGTGAAGGTGTACCAATTGATCCCATGGCGCTTCCAGTTTCTTATCAAAAGATGAAGTCTCTAATCTTAATTCTTAAAAATGAAATATCCACTGACATAGCGATCCATAACTGCAATGTGCTCCCAAGGTTTGTTTAAGACTCAAGCCAAAGATTTGCAGCATATATGTTAACTCAGATATCTACGGTTTGATTCTCAATTTATCTTTCTAATGATTTTCTCTCTGTTAACTATCAAACAGCTTTATAGACCTTCCAAATCATTCAGCGGCAATATATAGTGTTGATCTCTGCAATAGGCTCCGGGAATTTCTTCTCGTATGGCCTCCTCCTGGACCATCCCCTGCGGTTGTTGATCTAGTTATTACAACTGCTGACTTTCAGAGAGATATCTCTAGCTGGAACATAAAGTAAGTCCACTAGTAAAACTATTTTTAAACCCCTCACATTTTTTTAATACATTCCTGTTACTGATAGGCACCTATATATTGTCTTGTCATGTTGCAGTCCTATTAAAGGTGGCGTTAATGCCAAGGAGCTTTTCTATTCATATATCACAACCTGGATTGAAGAGAAAAGACGAGTTTTATATGAACTCTGTAAGCTAGAGACGGTACTAATCCTGCAACTGAGTTCTTCCAAGTTTAATTATATACTGCAGAAGGTAGAGCATTTTAAAGCCCTTCCTCCATGCAATTGAATTACATTATGTCTGTTTTTTTCAGGCAAAAGCATGTGGTGAGATTCCGGGATTGACTTCTCCTTTTGTC